CTGGTTTAGACTCTTTCACAGAGCAGGTAAACAGTGACATTTGAAAACGAGTTCTGAATCAAAGGTTATAATTGAAAGAACCTATCGCGGCAATTTTAAAAAGCAAAACAGGAGACCACAGGAATAAGCAGACATTAGTGAGAAGGAGGTCAGTAAGACCTGTTAAGAGTATAAATTTATGTGGCTGTTCTGTACAACAGTGATGTTCAGCCTTGTTATAAATAAACCAAGGTTACAAAAAGGCATGTTGGACCGCCTAGGTGCTTTCCAGCACAGTCAGCTGCATAGCTTCTTCATTCTGCTAACACTACGTGAGTGTGAGTTTTATCGCCTGGGTGACGTCAGAAAAGCAAGTTGAGGAAAGAACGTTGGTTTATGCTTAAGGTGCATTTCTTTAGTGCCAGTGAGAAATAAAACGAGCGACACTTCAGAGAGCTAATGTGACATTTGGGAGAATGTCTGCTCCTTATTGACCTGGTGGAGAACTTGGGTTGGCTGTGGAAGAGCCCGTAAGGCAAAACTGTGATCGGAGCCCAGGTCTTGGACTTTGATAATCTTCTACTCGGCAGGTCTTGTAAACAACTGAATTCTTGATTATGATGCTCGACTATCAATTATACTACTTGGGAATTATTTGGTCATTGTTCCGGAAGCATATTCTCGTTACTTTTGAGTGGAGACCCATTTTTAATTGTGTCTTGAGCTGAGTACCTCAAAGGAAGACTATCTTGCTGCTTTAGAGTGGAAATTGACATGCACCAGAGACTTCTCTTTCGTTTCTTAGCTCTTTGCCTATCACTTGGCTGATGTACAGTGCCTGGTCAGCCATAGTCTCATATATTTTGTTCATTTGGGGATTGTTTTTGTTAAAGGGTAAATCCAGTTCTGGTCACTCCATCTTTCCAAAATCAGAAGTCTGGCTTGATAGGTTATGTCTTTTGAATTTCTGTTTTGTTGTTGAGAATATACACAGCAATATACACAAATTAAAATTTTCTACATGTAGAAATCCAGTGATATTAATTATATATTCAAGTACAGCCATTCATACCCTCTTTGTTGAGTCCTTCATTACCATAACTCACTATGCGCTTATGTGTCCTATCTAATCTTTCCTGTTGCCCTTGTCGATTTGATCACCTGTAGATAGTTTTTAAAAGAGCACAATGGGCAAGGCAGACATTCTTTACTAATCTGTGAACTGTTGTTTGGTTCTAGAGCTTCAGGAGGGTTTTTGCTTTAGGACTTAAAGATTATCGCAGGGCAATAGCTTTGGGTTTTCATCAAGCCTCTATGACTCCAGAAAGTATAGGTCCATGAGAATTTAAAATTCTATTCTGTATTTTCCACATTGGGTCCGATTCTTCTATAAAATCTTTAATCAAAATGTTCAGTAATGGTAACCTAGCATCACCCAATTGTTTTAGCTCATCCCAGCAAAGGAGTGCCTTTGACTCGATCCAGGAGATCAGCTTTCTGCTCTTCGCCACTCTTCTCTGCTCTCTGTTGCTCATGGTGACTAGAAACCAATCATTATGCCTTGGGTGGCCACATCCAAGTGTTGTGTTTTGCTTTCAACAGTTTTATTGACAAATAATTCATATACCATGCAGTTCAGTGGTTTGAATATATTAAGGGATAGGCAGTCAACGCCACAATCAATTTTAGAACGTTTTCTTTATTTTTGTACTCATTGTTAAAGAAAATCGTATCAAAACCCCAGCAGTAATAGCAAGCTAAAACACAGAAAACCTTCAAAGGCAGAAAATAAAAACTAGATTGTTAGAGGTGGGCCAAAGGGGGAAAATGATAACGTGTTAAGATTTAACCTAACTGTATCTGGATTAATTCACTTTCTAATAACACTCTGTCTGAGAGGAAGGCTTTTCACATCCATGTTCAAAGGTTCCAGGGAATCCAGTGGAGGTCTGAACCCCAGGGGAGACTTTACAAATCGATTTTGGGCTTTCACTGTCATACATAACCTTCTGTAAACTGGACCCTTAGAATTTAGGCTTTAGTACAATTCTTTTCTGGTCTTAACAAGTTTGGGGGGTGTTGTTTGTTGTTGTTATTTGGATTTTTGTGTGTTTTATTTTTACCTCCGGCACTACGCAACAAACTAGGACGTAGGAATGCACAAAACACTTTTATTCGGCCAGTTAACTGGAGTGTCCCATGATACCATGCCCTTTAAAACTCCAATCTGTAGAACCAAATCTTTTGAGAGGCTTGGTTGTGCATAAGAAGCTTTGCTATATATTTTTAAAGGAAATCTTACCGTGAATGACAGGTCCTGATTTGGGAATAGATACTTTGTAGATTCATGTATTTTACATTATTTTATTTCATCATTATTCCTGTCTTATTAGCAAAAGACTCAGCACATTAATAGTCAATAGACAGAAGTGGAGGTTAGAAGCCACATCGACATCTAGATATCATGCGTGTGGTAATTGGCATGCCAATTATTGTTCGTTTTCATCGCTGTCCCCTTTGTCTGTCTTTTGTTTTTTTCTTGTTTGTGTGACTCCTTTCCCTGTGCCTTTCTGCGTCAGTGAAGCTATAATAATAAGCTAGAGGAGCACCATTCGGTAGACTTTATCGTCTCTTTGAATTTTAACAAATATTATTTTTCTCCTGCCCAATCTGGTAATCATTTGTTGCTTCTTTCAGCAGTTAAACACTTAAAAATGTGGCCAATTTGCCTGAATTATAACTGTGTTATGAACAGCTATCATATTAGGCAGCTATCATATTAGGCCTAGAGGACTGAACATTTACATTACCCATCTGAGGATTGGACCTTTTATCTCATGCCTGTTCGCCCTTGTAGCAAAATAAATCTTGATCAGGTCTCTATTTTAGAAAATAGGACAGATACGTGGAGAAAGAAAACCAGTCAAAACTTTATCCTGATAAGAAACAAGAAAGGACTAAAAGGAAAATAGAAGTGATTGTATTGTTTAGGAGCCGTTTGGCTGCATATACTAGAAAACCCAACTCAATTGTTGTACCAAATAAGATGCCAAAAATATCGAAACATTGCCATTGAGTAGATTCCAACTCAGAACTCTTGTTCCGTGAAGTGGAACTGCCCTAGAGTTGCCAGTGCTGTCATCTTTAGTGGCCTGTCTGCCCCGTCTTTTGTTATGGAATGCCGGGTCTGTTTGTTGTCCTTTTGGTTAGCAGTCAAGGGCCTTAACCACAGTGTCATCCGGACTTCTTCCTTGCCAAGTGTCATCAGGTGCCGTGTCGTTGGTTCTAGCACACAGTCCTCTTTTGTATGTGCAACAGGATGAAAAGCTGCCCCCTCCTATGCTGTGCTCACACTCTTTGCTGTATTTGAGCTGTTGTTGTAGCTGGTCTGTCAGTCTATCCAGTCAAGAGTCTACCTCTTTTTCACTGATCCGCTCCTGTACACCAAGCATGATAGATAGTCTTTCCATACTCATTTCGAAGGAACATAGGAACAGACACACAAAGGCAAAGCCATTGCCGTCTAGGCAGTTCAGACTCATAGTGGCTCTACAGGACAATAGAACTGCTCCTTTGGGTTTCTAAGACTTTAAATCTCTATGGAAGCAGACAACCTCGTTTTTCTCCCTCGGAGTGGCTGGTAGGTTCAAACCACTAACTTTGAAGCCAGAAATTCAATATGTAATGCACTATGCCACCAAAGCGTCATGAGGCACATAGCCCTAACTAGCCTAACTGCTTCAAATAGTATCCATTGTCTTCAAAAGCCTCAGTTCCTTCTCTCAGCATTGTTAACTGTGGCTACATGTCAGAACCTAAATGAGCTTCTCAGGAGAATGGTGTGTTTGGAGGAAGAAGTATTTTAAGTTTAGGAGTGATCAACATAAACTGTAACAAAAGTGCCTTATACTGAGGCTTTTTATTCCTGCAGAACTCTCCCAACTTAAGATACTTGTCTTCATGCCATGCAGTCAGTGCCTTATTTCATTTCCATTTCACTGCCATTTTTCTATCACCAAAAATAATCATTTTCAAATCCAGAGTTAGTGTCAATGTTTTTTTTTTCTTTATGGACAATCACTTTCTAACATTTTAAGCTTAGATTTCCTACTTAAACAATATAAGTAGTAGGCAGATTATCTGTAGGGCTTTCTCTCAAGATCCAAGACCATTTACTAAAGAAATACTTTATTTGACATTTCACACCCCAAAACCAAACTCACTATCATCCAGTCAATTCCGGGTCGTTCTGAAGCAGTATAGGCTTCCCAGGACCCAAATCTCTATGGAAGCACGTAGCCTCGCCTTTTCCCTTGGAATTGCTGGTAGATTTGAAATGCCAACCTTGCAGTTCCAACACTTTCCCAGCAGCACCACCTCTCACTGCCATGGAGTCGGTGCTGGCACATAGCGAGTCTCTGCGGGCTTCTGAGACTAACCTTACAGGAGTAGAAACCCAGTCTTCATCGCGAGGAGCTGCTGGTAGTTTCAAACTGGCGACCGTGCGGATTGTAGCCCGACACGTAACCACTACGCCACCAGGGCTCCTTATTTGACTTTAGATCATTACATATCACAATGTTTTCACCCTCACCTTCTGTGGAGAGTTATATACTAGGTCATTTTTCTCATTTTTTTCTGTGAAAGATTTTCTAGCTCAGGCCTAGGATAATCTCTGCCTTTGGGTGTGATCTTGCTTATTAGTGAACTTCTAGATTCATGCCTAAGGCTTAAACTTAGAATGAAAATCTGTTAGAGCATCCAGAGAGCAAGAATTGCTGGTAAGTTTCCCACTTTCCTGTGTTGATAGTATTGTAAGCGTGTTCATGCTCTCCTTTTTTTTAGTTTTTGTTCATTTGAGCAGGTGGGTTTTTCCACTCTAGTTTTCATAGAACTTTGAAAAACTATAGGGAAAAAAATTCTGTTCAGCTCTCCATTCCTCTTTATGTAGCTTTTTCATTTGGTGTTTCCATCTTGTTTGATAGCCAAAGTAGATCTAATGAGAATATGTTTTCTTTCAGGATATCCTTCTCATTAATGTAATAATTGAACAAATGATCTGTGATACTGATCCTGAGCTAGGAGGTGCTGTTCAATTAATGGGACTTCTACGAACTCTAATTGATCCAGAGAACATGCTGGCTACTAATAATGTAAGAAATTACTCTGAGATAAACACATTTTTATTTAGTCAGTTTTAGATGATTTTATGGTACAACTTTGAAAAACAGTGAATACTTTATTTTCAGCAACATAAAAAGCGACTGCACATAAGGGCTTCTTCTCTGGATGGCACACACAGAAACCAAAATGACTACTCCTATGGGGGTGGGGTATACAAAGGAGAAGCGGCGGCTTAGTGGAAGAGACCATCAATTGCTCGTATATAACTTCAGGTTAAAGCTGAAGAAAACTAAAATAAGTCCACAAGAGCCCATTTGACTGTGAGTCTGCCCCACCTGCATTTCAGGAACATGTGAAGAACATATTGGATGCATTGAACACTAATGACAGAAGACCTGATGATCCGTGGGAGGACATGAAGAACACCATTCATCAAGAAAGCAAAAGGTCGTTATAAAAAGACAGGAGACTAAAAAGGTTAAAGTGCATGTCAGAACGAACCCTGAAGCTTGCTCTTAATGGTAGAGTAGCTAAAGAAAATGGAAGAAGTGATCAAAGAGCTGAATAGAAAATTTCAAAGGGCAGCTGGAGAAGACCAAACTAAATATGATAATGAAATGTGCAAAGACCTGTGCATGAAAAATCAAAAGGGGAGAAACATTCTCACATATCTTAAACTGAACGAACTCCAGGGAAAAAATGAGCTTCAATTTCCAAAAGTGAAAGATTCTATGGGTAAAATTTTGAGTGATGCAGGAAGTATTCAGCGAAGAAAGTAGGAAAACACAGGGTCACTGGACCAAAAGAACTAGTCAAGATACCATCATTTAGGAGGTGGCATATGATCAAGAGCCAATGTTACTGAAGGAAGAAGTCCAAGCTGCACTGAAAGCATTAACCAAAAACAAGACTCCAGGAGTTGACGAAATACCCATTGAAGTGTTTCAGAAAGCTGAAGAAGCACTGGCAGCACTTACTCATCTCTGCCGGGAAATTTGGAAGACAGGTACTCAGCCAACTGACTGGACGAGATCCCTATTTGTATTCATTCCAAAGAAAGGTGGCCTAACAGAATGCTCAAATTATAGTATAATATTGGTATCACATGTAAGTCAAATTTTTCAGAAGATCACCCGACAATGGTTGCAGCAGTACTTTGGCAGGGAACGGCCGGAGACTCAGGCAGGGTTCTGAAGAGGACATTGCTGGTGTCTTTGGGTTGCTTCCTTCTCATAAGGACAGCAGAAGGAAATGCTGCAGAGTCGTGCGCCACCCTCACAATGGTTGCTATGCCTGAGCCCATTCTTCCAGCCCCTGTGTCAGTCTGTCTCCTTGAGGACCTTCCTCTTTCCTGGTGCCCCTCCACCTTACCAAACACGATGTCCTCCAAGGACCAGTCTCTTCTGATAATATGTCCAAAATATGGAAGACTAAGTCTTGCCATCTTTGCCTCCAAGGAGCACTCTGGCCATACTTCTTCCTAGACAAACTTGTTTGTCTTTTAGGCAGACTATTTTCACTGTTCTTCTCCAGCACCACAACTCATAGGTACCGATTCTCCTTGGTCTTCCATATTTAATGTTCACTTTCCCATGTATGTGAGGCAACTGGAAATCTATGGCTTGCATCAGGCACACCTTAGTCCTCAAAGTAGCACTCTTACTTTTCAGTACGCTAAAGCAGCAGTTCTCACCCTGTGGGTCGTGACCCCTTTGCAGGTTGTACAACCCTTTTACAGGGGTCGCCCGATTCAAAACAGTAGCAACAAAAATAATTTTACGGTTGGGGTCACCACAACATAAGGAACTGTGTTAAAGGGTTGCAGCATTAGAAAGGTTGAAAAACCACTGCTCTAAAGAGTTCTTGTGCAGCAGATTTACCTAATGCAAAGCATCTTTTAATCTGTTGACGCTGCTTCCATGAGCATTGATTGTGGATCCAAGCAAGAAAATATCCTTGATGACTTCAAGGACTCAGAACAAGGGATATCATTGCTGCTGTCAGATGTATCTTAGCTGAAAGCAAAGAACCAGAAATACATGTGCTTTCTTGACTGCGCCAAGGCATTCCACTGTGTAGACCCTAATAATCTGGACAACCTTGAGGAGAGTGGTTATTCCCGAACAAGGGCATACTGCATGGTTTAAAATCATGAAAGGTGTATCGTCAGGGTTGTATCCTCTCAACATATCATCATAGAAGCTGGCGCATGTGAAGAGGAATGTGGCATCGGGATGGGAGGAAGGCTTATGAACAGCCTGCCATATACTGATGACACGGCCGGCCGTGCTTGCTGATGGTGCGGTGCGGAGGACCTGAAGCCTTCAATATAGATTGAAGGTAATGTAAGAAGACCAAAACTACCAAAAAAAAAAAAGACCAAAATTTTCACAACTGGGCCAGTAGGTAGCATCATGATAAATGGAGAAAGAGTTGAAATTGTCAAGGATTTTGTCTTTCTTGGATCTACAATCAGTGTTCATGGAAGCAGCAGGCAAGAGATCAAAAGGTGGGGTTGCATTGGGTAAATCTCCCTAAGATCTCTTTGGAGTGTTGAAAAACAAGGATGGTACTTTGAGGACTAAGGTACTCCTGACCGATTCCATGGTATTTTAAATTGCCTTGTATGCATGTGAAAATTGGAAACTGAAGAAAACAGAAGAATAATTAATACATTTGAATTGTGCTGCAAAAAAAACATTGAAAGTATCGTGGACTACCAGTGTGACGAACAGATCTGTCTTACAGCAACAGCCAGAGTGCTTTCAGAGGCTGGGGTGGTGATGCTTCATCTTACGTACTTTGGATATGTTGTCAGAAGAGACTGGTTGCTTGAGAAGCACACCGCGTTTGGTAAGGTAGAGGGCAGCCAAAGAGGAAAGGACTTCAAGGGTTGATTGACACTGGCTGCAACAGTGGGCTCAAGCACAGGGACAGTTGTGGAAGTGGCTCAGGGCGGTGCAGTGTTCTGCTCTGTTGTGCATACGATTGCTGTAGTTCGGAAATGACTCGAGGGCACCTAACAACAGCAGGAACATGTAGAAATACAAATTTTGAGCAGTTAAATTGCCATTGTATAGCTTGATTTTTTTTTCGTGTTTTTTGATTCCTTCATTGCATTTCAGATCACAAACATGAAAACTATTTTGACTATTTGAAAAATTTTATAATATAATCTGATCCTTTTCTTGTTCAATTTTGTTTAATATATAACCTGAAATATTTCAATTCTACAAAAATAAAATTGAGGTGCATATAACCAATTTTTAAATTCTTGGACAGTATCTTAAATTATCTGTTGTTTGTGTATGATCTATACTGCTAATTTTTGAAATTGTTAATTACAAAGATAATAGTATTTTTACAATTCTGTATATTGCAGAAAACTGAAAAAAGTGAATTTCTCAACTTCTTCTACAACCATTGTATGCATGTCCTCACGGCACCACTTTTGGCCAATACTTCAGAGGACAAATGTGAAAAAGGTAAGGTCTCTTTATCGCCTTAGGATTTTTCCTTTTAAAAGAAGGGTGAAATATCAATATACTTAACTATTTGTTTGTTACCTTATATGACAGAGAAATTACTACTGAAAATTTCAACTGCAATATAAAAAATCATGATTTCCTCCTGTGTGTGTGTGTGTGTGTGTCCTTTGAAAAAAATGATACAGAAAATGTGACAAAAAGGTGCAAGAGAAAGAGACTTCCAAAATTGGTAGAATGAGTAGAGGTGAGGCAAAACTGTGAGCATCATGACTGCATTAGAAACTTGGAGGAAGCCAACATTTAATGGAATAATTTGTCAATATAGTAAAAATCGTTTTACATCACATCAGGATCTGAAGTTGATTGGCTTAGCTAAAGTTAAAATAGACAATGACTTTTTAAAAATTCTTGCAGCCATTCTAAATGCACAGTCATTATGCCAATATTGTATATACAGGAAAGTTTTTTTAAATGTTTGTTGATTGTATTTTTGTATAATTTTTCTTGTGTACATTAAACCTATAATTAATTCATCAGCTGTAATTTCTGGCATTACTTTGGAAAAAACTTTTTTTTTTTTTGGAAAAAATATTTTTGAAGCAATCTGAATACAGAATCTCATCAGCGTTTTAAGTGTTCCCCTCAGGTTTTCAGAGTTGTGTGTATAATTGGGCAGTTCTTTTGAATTCTGTGATGGTTAACTTAACCATAGATGTTTCTGATCTCTTAAATTGCACCAGTCTATGACATGTAAGTCGCATGCTCACTAACATAAACAGAGGACTCTGCAAAGCATTCAGTAAACTAGTGAAGTCAAGGATGTGTGGGTGGGGGCACACTAGCACCTCCGCGCTTGGTTGTAATTTATGACCAGAGCTGTTTTTTAAGGTACTGTTTATACTTTTGCCTAGATTTTTACTCACTTGAACTCCTGAGTGATACTGTCTTATCTGTGTCTGGGGGAGTTTAGCTATTTTGTAATGCACATCTGAGTTGTTTCCAGAGTTTTACTGCAGCAACAATACTCCAATATATACTCTTGTACTGTTTTCCTGTGCCAGTGTACCTATACTTGCTCGTGGGTATGTGCCCTGATATCAGAACTTATGTGTATCGTTATTTTATTTGAAAATAAGAACACAATATATATTAGCATTATCTCTTTTTAAAATTTATTGGTGTTTAATTCACATACCATACAACTTTATTGTTCAACTATATTAAGAAAGGTTGTGCAATCACCACCACAATCAGTTTCAGAATGTGTTCTTCTTGTACTCATTACTATTAGCTCCCCATTTCTCCCCAACCTTGCCAGCCGTGCCTGTACCCTTAGGTAATTATTAATCCAGCTCCTGTCTCTAGATTTATTTATCCAGAATGTCATGTACATAAAATCATACAGAACACAAACCAAAAAAATGACTAGACAAAACATGGAAAAAAAACCCATTGAAAAGGAAGCAGAAAATATTAAAAACTGAAACAGCTTTAAAGTGGGTCAAAAGGGAGATCAATTGATAAGGTATTCCATTTTAACCTAATTGCGTCTTCCATAATCGACTTTACAGTGTCCTCTGTCTGAAGCAAGGCTGTTCACATCCTTGGACTCTGTTCAGAGTGAATTCACTATGGATTCATCTATTTGTGAACCCTGCAACTAGATTTGCGGCTTCCACCATCATCCATAGCCTTCTGCAAATTGACTGTTCACATTTTAAGCTCTGATACCATTCTCTCCTTCCAACCTTTATCTTTGGATGTTGTCTCACTTATATTAGAATCTTTATGCTATATTGTTTTTAATTATTCCACATGTATACTCAGTTTGGTAACAGTTTTCAGATAAATATATGATTGAAGCAACTAACTCTCAGTGGTCATTATGAGAGTAAAATGAGATAATGATTGAAGATATGCTTTATATATTGTAAAATGTCAGGGAAATATGAGATACTATTAATGAAACTTTTTTTTTGCAGTAGATAATATAGTGGGAGCTAACAAAAACAACACAATTTGTCCAGGTAAGTATCAGCTCATATCTTATGAATTAAAGTACACGATGAGTTTTTTTCCTACTCGGTATAATGCATGGTACATTTTTAAACAACTAAGAAAAGCATAATTTCAACATAAAAACAAAATTCAAGAATAGATTTATATACTTATTTAAATTTTTCCATTTTCTCTAATAGGAAACCAAAAAATTCCAGTTGGAATTTTGGTTTTTGGTTTTCTGTAAATCTCTACCCTGTTTTCTTAACACTCTTTTGGAAAAGCATTTGAAAGTTTCAGGTAGAGCTTGTTCTTATTGTCTTATTGATAGCTGTAGTAAACTAAGATGAAGATCATCAGGAACCAATCTAATGACAATATTAGACTTAGATAAGGTTTTTGAGTCTGATCTAAACACTGTTGTTTCTTTCTGGAGCATACGTACCAATTGTGGTCCTTGACATATTGAAAATGTGCATTCTGTGCTCAGTTAGCATCCTTTTTCTGTGAGGCCCATCATAAGCTCAAGACAGCTCATTTCTCCCAGCCAACCAGCTGTACAACAAGGAAGCTATGTAGAGATCGAGCTGGTTAATGATATAATGGCAAGTTTTGTGTAATAATTTTGGGCAGTGAAAACAATACATTTAATTAATATTTTAGATCACTGTTTTATAAATAAGTTTAAAAATATATAAATGATATTTGTCAATTGATGAGAAATTGTTTTCAGTTGTGAGAGCCTAGTTCAAATATTGGCTATGTTGTTGACTTTTTCAAAGTGGTCCAGAGCAAGTAAAACTCTACTTGCATTTAAAGTTGAAAAAAATTGAAATTATCAGAATTGTACTATATTCTGTAGTCATTCTGTTATTTAAAACAATGCCCGATTTAATCCCACTAACGTCATATTCCACAAAATATCGATACCATGTGTGTTCCTGTTGAGTAAGTACAGTGAAGGGAACTCTGTGATGTCAGGGAATATTTCTATTCTTTAAGGCTGTTATTTCATGATTTAGTTCAGTATGCTTTTTCTTGTGGCTGATTATTACGATTGTGTGTTAAAAATCTGACGTTGAAAATACCATGATGTGGGGTAGAAAGGGAACCAATCACAAGAATCTACATATAACCCCCCTCCCTGGGGGACAGACAACAGAAAAGAGGGGTGAAGGGAGATGTCAGACATTGTGATACTGACAAAATAATAATTCATAAATGATGAAGGGTTCCTGAGGGAGGGGGCCAGGAAGGGAGAGGGAAAATGAGGAGCTGATACCAAGGGCTCAAGTAGAAAGAAAATGTTTTGAGAATGATGATGGCAACAAATGTACAAATGTGCTCGACACGATGGATGGATGGGTTGTGATAAGAGTTGTACCGACCCCCAATAAAATGATTTTTAAAATGAAAGAAAAAAAAATACCTTGATGTAATCGATACAACTAGGTTTTATTTCATGTCTTTAAACTTCAATTGAATTTTTCTAACAATATTATTAAATAATTTCATACAAACGTGAGTCTTGGACATTATTTTTATTAATTATAATTTGTCATTCTTCTAGAGAAGGCTTCCTAATGAAAAGTTTGAAATGCATGGTATTCCTAATGAATAGAAAAATGGGGATATAAGCTTTGTTTATACACATACCATCTTAGCTGTATTATCATTTATTTGTATGTGATAACTTTCTTTTATAGATAATTACCAAACAGCACAACTACTTGCCTTAATTTTAGAGTTACTCACATTTTGTGTGGAACATCACACATATCACATAAAAAACTATATTATGAACAAAGATTTACTGAGAAGAGTCTTGGTCTTGATGAATTCAAAGCACACTTTCCTGGCATTGTGTAAGTAACAATATATTGAACTGTCTTATAAAATGTTTATAGAACAATGTTTTTAATCCAGATAAATGCCAAAGTTGCTCATGATTTTTTTAAGCAATGTGTATGCTATTTAAAAGGCTTATGAGAAAGTACTAAAATTTTCTGTTGTATTTAAAAGTCAAAAGTATTGAGATATAGGGTTTCCAGCTCCACGTTTTGTTCCCATTTTCATTCCATTGGCTTAATTTTATTTGTCATATAACACCATGTGCAGTGACATAATTCCATCAGGAGAGCCAGTCCTGCCTTCTAAATATGCTTTATCAAACTCTTATTTAGCAGTGACTCTTGATATGTTTTACATGTATGGGCCTTGAAATCTTCCTTTGTAATTCATTGAACTTGCAAAATACCCATGGGTAGTCTCTCAAACCACTTGACCAATAATAATTAAATTTAAATCCTGATGCTTATTCTATTGTGGATTTTTGACCAGCTGCAAACTTTCCTTAGTCTTCATACTTTTTCTTCCAAGTAAAGATAAAAGAAATCTTCCTCCGCATGAAAGGCGCCTTGTGATTTTTTTCTGGTCACAAAGATTACAGTTGAAGTTCAAACGTCTTAATTTAATGTGTAGACCAAAGATTACCTCCTGTCTACTTGCGTTTTTTAGTCCCTTTATAGCCATTCCTTTTTCCACAGCAGGTATAGGATTCTTTTATTTTTCAAAATAGGGTCATGCTTCCTCATCTCTCGGCCTCTTTTTTTTGTCATAGATCGCTCAGTATGGTGTTTTCATAGACACAGCCAAGCGGTGTTTCTTCACATGGCTCTCCTATCATTTGATCTTCCATTGGCCAGGGCATAAATTACAAGATTGTTTGCTGTGTTTTGCCACTAAATGACACTTTAATAAATAACCTAACACATGAATCTTTAAGTACTGGTTTGCTTATTTTTAAAGGATGGATTACCAATCATGGGATTGCCAGGACTAAATGTTTGTGCATTTTCAATATACCTTTAGAAGTTTCAATTTAGTAGCACAAAAAAGTTCTCTGTGCTAACAAATATGTCTCTCCCTTTTATGGCTTTTGAGCTTTTTGTCTTAGGAAAATCTTCCCTATCCTCTTACATCATTTTTATGTGCCATCAAGCCTGTTCTGAGTCATAGCAACCCCCTGCACAACAGAACAAAATGCCAACGGTCTTGCGCCATCCTCACAATCGTTCTTATGCTTCCGCCCATTGTTGAGCCACTGTGTCAATCCATCTCTTCGAAGGCCTTCCACTTTTTTGCTGCACTCCACTCCACAACGTGTTCAGATTTTGTAAGACTAAGTCTTGCTCTCCATGCCACTACAGACCATTTGGACTGTCTGACAGGTAACTTCCTCCAAGACAGAGCTGCTTGTTCCTTTGTCAGGACATAGTACTTTCAGTATTCTTCATCAGTCCATGGTTGTTCTTCAGCCTTCCTTATTTAATGTCCAACTTTCCATGTGTATGAGGCTGTTGAAAAGACCATGTCCTGGGGCTGTTACGCCTTAGTCTTCAAAGTTAGATTGCTTCTGTTCAACACTTGTGCAAAGCAATTCCTCTTGAATTGTGTCTTTTCTGGAATAGTAAACCATATGATTTTCTGATTCAAAATGGCCAATAGCTGCCCATGTACAGCTCATTAATGCCTACACTTTCATTTGTTATGCACTCCAATTCATTTTTAACAACTTCAATTATCCTAGATTCAAAACTTCGAACACTCCAAGTTCCCATTATTAATTAAGCTGTTTGCAGCTGTTCTCATTTTGAGTGGTGCCCCATCAGCAAAGGAAGGTCCCAAAGGCTCTCCTACTGCAGACTCGACTCCATCCACGGTGTTGTGGTCAACTCTACTTGGAGAGGCAGTTCTTCCTCAGTCGTGTTTTGGGTCCCCCTGACCTGAGGGGCTCATGAGGGCTCATCTTCTGCCATTGTCTCTGCTAATAGTTCAGTGTTACTCACAGGGTTGTCAGTGCGAATTCCTCTGAGGTGGGAAGCTCAGTCCTTCTCCTGAGTCTCTTCCTGGTCTGGAAGCCCTGCAGGACCTGTTCGCCATGAGCGACCTGTTACTTGAGATAGCAGTGACATCGCTTCCAGCATCACAGCAACACACACGCCTCCGCAGTGCGACACCCTGACGGCCAAGTGGTGGATCTCCTACCAGTCCGTGTCCTTTAACCTTCCATGTCGTTTTTACTCTTGATTTCCCCCCTTAACTCTTCTATATGTAATACAGGTGGAGATAGTTCTTGTATGTGCTATGACGTGAGGGCTGTGTTCTCTTATGGGTGACTAACCCCATGTGCCAGTACCAGTATGGATGAGACGACAGTTTCCATCTTTAATGGAAATTAGCTTTTTCTATGTAGTATGTTTACTTCTGGGTTGTCTGTTCACTAGATGAAATAAATGAGAAGGGTTATCTTATGCCATTTTAGTATCTTTATTGTAGGCTACTGTATCTATCAAGTTCCCTTTGCCTTAGTTGTTATGCAATAACCTCAAAATAATTTTCTCTAGTTCTTCCTGACCACAATAAAGTTAATATTTTTAAATAATTTTATTGGGGGCTCTTACAGATATTCTAACAATCCATACATCGGTTATATCAAGCAAACTTGTATATATGTTGCCATCGTCATTTTCAAAATATTATCT